TTTACCGAGCAGGGTACATTAGAGGAAGTTAGTGACAAAGAGGCGGCTGAAGAAAAGGGTGAGTGTCATCTTCCACTAGATGAGGACAAGATGTTTGTGGTTCGATGGATCCTACAAATTAAGGCTAAGATGGGTCAATAGTAGCTTTGCGAAAATATATTCTACAACAGTTACGCTGTGAAGGGAGGTTTGCAGTCTCATCATCGATGGAGGGAGAATCAAGAATGTGACTTCTATACAAATAGTTGACAAATTAAGCCTCAGAACTTAGAGACACTCCTAGTCATACTCCCTGATGTGGTTGAAAAAGAAAAATAGAGTCAGCATTGACAGAACTTGTCTCATGAAGTTTTCGATTGGGAACTAGCTACCAAATCAAATTTGATGCAATGTGGTGCCCATGGATGTCTGCCACTTTTTGTTGGGGAGACCGTGACAATGTGTTCGTCGGACTCAACGTGACAGGTTCAGGAACACCTACTCCTTCACCAAGGATGGCAAGCACATAATCCTTCTACTTTCTGTGGAGTCCAAGATTATAGGTCCCCTTACCAGCAGAAAAGTGCCAACAAAATATGTTTAGGTGATTATAGAGAAAAGAGGGATAGAGGTGTTGATTCCAGATACATACCAATCACCACAGAGAACATGTCAAGATATCATAATCGATACATTACCACCATGGCCGACATCTTTAGGAGTTCAATTTGTTCTCGCGTCAGGTTAGACGGAGCCAACTGGGGACTATGCTTGGAAGACTTTGCATGGTACACTTGGCACAAGGTCTCTATTTAGTTCAACATTACACCCTCATGTGATTGGATCGATATGGATGATTGCTCAAAGGTGGACAAAACTCAAGTGTTTTGGAAGACAGTGCAGTTGACGGTGAGATCTAAGTGCTTCTCGGGTTGCAATAGAAGATCCTTCAACCCTAAGAAGTTATAGTAGCTCCGTGACTTTCAACATGTAGACAGAAGCTTTGAAGAATGAGGTCAAAACTCCCCCAACCCTGGGAGACTGATGTTGTCGTATAGGAGTCATGGAACCATCCTGCAATTCCTTCAGCTGAACTAAACTGGTCCAAACCTAGGGGGGTCGATCGGTTGTTCCATGTTGGTTTGGCACCTCCTTTCCATAGGGGGGTCCAATCCAAGCTATACAGAGCTTATATATGTGATTCCTGTCTTTTAGGTTTTCACTTTTTTTGTGTTTTGTCAAAACAACCATCAGCAACCAGATTTTTACCTTCTAGGGTTGCATCTGACGACAAGTGATGCTTCGGTTGTATCTCGTCCGAGGTGATGATTATCCTCGATTTTCCCACTCCTTTGCAACCTTCCCTCTGCCCCTACCATCATCGTATTCTCTACAGCCACTAAAAAAAAATCACCTTATTATTTTCTATAGTCTTGAGCCTCTCAGTCGCCTCCCCTTTCCTTCCCTGCATTGCTACCACAGAAAACACCCTTTCTAGCCTCTTTCGAGCGCTCCCACCTTGCTGCCTCCGCTTAGGAGCCAGAGAACACCGCCTTCCAGCTATTCCACCGCAACTCACCCCAAGTCCTCGCTACCCCCATCCATAGTAGCAGCCATACTTGATGTTCCTACATTTTTTCACCTCACCCCTGCTGCAATCAATATCCCTTTATTGCTGCCACACCCGCCAACCATTCAAAGCACCAAGCCGACCTCCACCACCCTTAGGATATGCTTTAGGGGTGTTTACTTGTGTCTATTGTTGTGTTTTCTTTTAAGTGTGTAGGGTTGTAATCACCTATTTGCTTTCACTACTACTATTTGCCTTCTTAGTGTTATTTTGGGTTAACTCTGGTATCAGGCACGGAAGCAGGGAAATATGTATCCAAGATGATGTTTTGTCATTCTTAACAATGACCCAAGTGAGGAAAGGGAATATGTATCCAAGCACAAAATTTGTAATCTTCAACAATACCCCCAAACACAAACAAGAAATGTGAAGGAACTGATTTGCTTCATCTAATAGTAAACTAGTGAGCCAACATCAATATTAAGTAGCATAAGAACCAATAGTGAGCCAACCTGAACATATCAGATAACACAAGCCATTCATTAAAAGAACCATCATCAAAGGCATGTTTTCACTAGATTTAAGCCATATTAAGAGCAATAAGAAAATAAAATCCGCAAAAATGAAAAAAAGTAAATATATCACTCTTAACACAACTTACTCGTCTCTATGCACAAGAATTTGTGATTTTACAAGCGTAAACATTGAGATTTTTTATCAAAAATTTTAAAAGAATCTCAAGTTTTTGATTGCCAAGGTTTTTATAAGTTGAAACAAGCATAAGTAGGACGTTGAAGAATAAAATAATTGGAGAATCATGTTTCTCAATTTGAGGATTAAAAAATCAAATTTAAATTTATTTTGGAATAAATGGTAAACCTTGGTGCAACGGTGACCTCGCACACACAATGAACCGGCAAGAAGTTGAGAACCTAGTGCATACATGACCGCCTCTTCATTATGAGCATCTTTTCCAAATAATATAAAATCTTATTCTTATAGAAAGAACATAGATAAAAAATTTTGCATTTGCATCATAGTATCAACCTTAAGTGAATTTGCATTTGCATAATATAGTATCAAGATTAAATGAATAAGTTATCTTGTTAGTGGTAGTGAACTTTACAGTATTTGGGGAATATGACTAATTATTAAAATGAATTACCTGAGAAATTATAATGTTTAACACTAAAGATACCTAACAATTTGTCAGTCATGTTATCAGTAAGAATGTCAGTATTCCTTCACAATAAGAACTTCAAGCACTTTAACAGAGTCATGCATGACAAGATAAAAAGAAAATGAGTCGAGCATAGGTCAAAAGGGACAACCTCAAAATTTTGAAAATTCTGTAGTTAAAATGTGAGACATACATTCAAAATGTTAAATTGAAATGGAATTAAACATACAAAAGAAGGAAACCTTTAAAAGCAAATTATTTGAGACAATATTATACATGTTCAATGCAAAATCCATTGCAGCATTATAGTTTAAGGGATTTAAGCATTTCTACATAGTTATAGAATTTCATTAGGTAACAAAAAAAAAAGGAAAAAGAAACAAGTAAATCAATTTCAATAAGCATGCATGTGCATCAGCCAAATGAAGTCAACAACATGTTAGACATGGTGAAATAAACTTCAATTTGACAAAAAGCCTATCGGACTCAAAATATGCAGAGCTACCATCCGCAAATTTAGCAACAATGTAATACACTGCTTTGTGCTATTTTAGTGTCTCGTTGCATTCCTGTGTAAAACATATGATATGTTGGTAAAATTAATGTTAAAATAGTTGTAAATATCATATAAGCTAGTAAAATTTATTCTCAAATAGATGTATTGGATAACAAAAAACAACATTACAGATTCATGCAAAATGAAACTTTTTTACATCAATAATTATTAAGTTCTTATTTTTATTTTTCTTATTTCATTAAGACATGACTATTTATTGAATTTTGACCTTCATTCTTTATTGGTGAATTATTAGCCCAACTAAATGATTAATATCTAATTGGAAAATTAACTGTTTCTAACATTTTGATGTATGCATGATTAGAGTAATTCACCAATAATTGATGATCAATCCTTAACTAATTAATCTAACTAATTTAGGGTCTGTTTGGGGCAGTTGTAGCTTATTGAATAATCTGCTGATAAGCTGATTAAAAATAAATTGTTGATAAGCTATGTGTGGTGGCTACTACAATTTTTATTTTTTTGAAAAAGTCAGACAGTAGCCAGAAAGCTCTCACCGCACCTAGATAGGCGATGCGGCGAGAAAACGATGTTTTCAGCGTATCGTTTTCAGCGTCTTGAAAACTTATAAGCTACCAAAACACACTTTACCCAAACAGGCCATGTGCACTTTCAAAACGCCACCACACCAAATAAGTTGCCCCAAACGGACTCTTAATGCCTAACCAGTGAACAATATCCATAGATTATTTAAACAAATTAATACAAGGCCACTTAGAATAAATAATCATCTTGGTAAATAGTCAAAAATAACATTTCAAGGTAACCTAATTAATCTATTAATAAACCAGTACAATACTTATGTTAACTTAATCAGCAACAAATACCTAACTAGCCAAATATTGATGAAATATTGAATAATGATTTAGCACCTAACTAATGAGCATAATATTGCATTATATTTTTAATGAATCAATTATTAAACCTGACTTAATTTTTACTTTTTTACTAAGCTCAAACTAAGGAGCTGATCCTAATATTTTCTTTCTAAAAGTTAAAAGCTGAAATCCAAAAATATTTTTCTTATAAATCAACAGGTTTCTCCATAAAAGTGTTCAATCTCTTTTCAAATGTCCAAAAGTTAGTTCTATTAATCTGAAAAGCATAACTAAATGGCAAAAAGCATTCCCTAAAGATGCCTAGTAAACTGCTGTTCAATAACTGCTCTAAAGCTCAAGTGATCTTTCTCCTGTATAATTGGAATATGTAGCAAAGATTCCAAGAAATACTCAAATAATTTAAAAAAAACAAAAATCCTACTGTGTTCTTCAGTCCCATTTTCTTCCTTTTTTAGACTAAGTATTTATGAAATCCTAAGGGAAGTGAGAGCCGATAGATTCACACAATTTCTCCTCGTCCCTTTTTTCTCCTTAATTTAATCCTGAAGGTTGAAAATATATATAAAAAAATTAACGATTTAATCAGAGTTAAATTCTATCATGCCATACAAATTCCAGCACTAAATCATAATTGTAGGAAAACAGCTCGAATGGCTGGTACCACCGTTACTAAAAACAAATATTCTGCTCAAAATACAAAATAAAGAACAATTTATCGAAATATGGATTTATTGGCATGCTGCGGATTCAAGGACATGCGGAACTATAGATCATTAAACTATGTCAGAATGCTTATCGATGCAGTTAACTAAATCAATCTTTAGAATCTAATGAATAAGGCTATAAACAAAC